CAATGACATTTGAGAAAATTATATTTTAAATAGAATAGAATTTCCTCATTTTTAGATTACACATCTATTCCCAAATCTTAATTGTTAGTTGTTTTTAAATCATAGATTGAGAATGTAGCTTCAGATGATGGTGAGGATGATGAAAATGAGGATAATTAGAAAGAGGACGATAAAGAGGAAGACGAGGGAAGGCACGCATGGATGTTGTAAGATATCACTGGACTGCCTAGGTCTGCTTTTGATGGTATTGCTCTGCTTCATATGTTTCTTTGTTAACTTGTTGGTGTAAGTGATGAAACTAAATTTAAGGATCTATTCCTTGTGAGGGTCTATAGGTTGTAATGCAAAAAACACCCCATCTATTCAGCTAATTGTTTCAAAGTTATAAGTTTAGGCATCTAAGAGGAAGCGATTTATTCTGACATTTTTCCTAGGGTTGTGTAATCGGTTTATCTTATACTAAGAGGCATTATCTGTCCTGCACTTCATCCTCGTAGCGAAATGGAAATATTGCTCGCATTAATTCTTTCCAAATTTCAAAATCATGATGCATTCCTTCCCCTCCCTCCCCCTCCCCCTCTTCTTCACATATCCGCATCTATTTATCAAATTTCAGTAGGTTTTCTAAATATTTGCTGAAAGAACTTATCAAGTACCAATTGCCAGGTAAAAAGAGGAAGAGGGAGCTTATCATATCGGAACCATATCCAGAATCTGAGTATTATCCTAGTTGTAATATTCCAAAACCAGATCAAGAGAGACTGGAGAGAAAGGCTGCTTATGAACAATCTAAGAATGATATTACCAGGTGGGAACCTTCGGTCAAGAGAAACAGAGAGGCACCTACTTTATATTTTGATGAGGATGTAGACTTGGGATTTTCATTTTTAGGAGCAATTGCTTCTGAATTTGAACCCAGAATTGATTTCGAGAAGAAAATTGCTTCCTTAGTGAATGATACTGAAGTCGTGGAAGCTCACAAAAAGATGGTGCCAGGCTTCTTGAACTGAACAAGGTAAGGAGGTCATATTTATACATTCTGGCATTTCATATAAAAATGTATGATTGATCCTCATTTATGGTTATTGTTTTTATGTGCTATTCTATTATTGTAAAAGCAGCACAAATGATGATAAATAAATAAGTTTCCTTTCTTGATGCCATTTTGTAGATATGCGTTGAAGATGTGAAAGCTCGTCAGGCCCGACTGGCTAAAATGTGTAGTCTACTTTTCCGTCATGAAATGAAGGTGAAGCGAATAAAAAAGACCAAGTCCAAAACCTATCACCGCTTGTTGAAGAAAGATAGATCGAAAGCATTGGAAGCTGAGATTTAATTGGATCCGGATGCTGCTAAAGACCTTGCAATGAAACAAGAGTTCAAAAGAGCTGAGGTATTGGAATATCTATGACATGATGTGAATACTTTAAGAGTTGGGGTTAACTTTTGATTTCATTTTCGATTCTTGAGAATCAGCTGGTCTATTACAATCCTTCTTGTTTCACGCAAGAACACGACTCTAAAACACAAAAACAGCTCCAAATGGGCGAAGCGCATCTTAAAACGTGGTCTGGATGTCCAAGATGAAGGAACCCAAACAGCTTCGTCAACATGCTACTTTGACCAGAAAAATGAAATCTATGAAAGACAGAAGTAGTAGCGACAAGAGTACTGGCAATGATGACATTGAGGAAATCTCATCTGGTTCTGATCAGGATATTGCATCAAAACTGTTCATGACAGCAAAAGAGAAGACAATTGAAGTGCTGGAAGGGGATGAAGAAGTGCCTAAATCTGGAGTGCTTTGTTTACCATTTATGATATGTTATGTGCATTTTTCATTTCAAAAATAGTATAATATAATGTAACATATTCATATGCTCGTTTACTTGAACAGGTACGTGGGTTGAAAAAGAGAAAAAAGGTTGTTGATGAGGAAGCAAGGCTGTACAACTTAATAATTCGTGGGTTGTACATTTTTTTAATCTTTGTAGTAGTTAGAGATTTTATGATTTTGATCGAATATAAAATAATAACCTAAGAATTTTACCTTGATTCTTATATTTTGTATGTAAAATTTATTGACAATAAAGATTTAGAATTGTATCATGGTTTTCGAGAAACAAACATATGCCCTAAATTCTTTGTATAGTTTTTGTATTTAATTAATGTGTGATTTTACTCTAAACAATTTCAAGATATAACATTCATAAAATTTTATAACTACTTAACTAAATATTCACAAGAGTGAGAAGTCTTTAAAAACATCAAATCATAAGTATGTCTCCCGATTAAAATTCAAAGGAACACATATATTTGAAGATTAATCTGCTCAAATGAATCATCAGCATGCAAGGACATGTTAAGAATAAATTTCACATTGAATAAAGATGAAAATATTGACTAGCATAAAAGGACTTGGATTGATTTTTTAAGATGAAAATTCAAGTTGTGCACTTGGCTAATACCAGATATACAAATATTTTAAAATTAACACCAATTATTCATATGGAAACCTATTGTTTAATTTTGTCAACTTCCTCAACCAAATTTAATTAAGTACTTATTGTAGAACATCCAAATTGAATAAATTTCTTCCTAGTCATGACTTGGTGATCAAAAAAGACTAATATATATGACTGCAGCCTCAGCAATTCCTAATCTTGACCTTTTCATTTTATATTTGATTAAAAGCTTCATGAGATAATATTGTGATGATTTATAAGTTGTGTAGTTGAAGTATATATACAATTAAAAATCAAATAGCGGTGGTAGTAGATGATCCTATTCAATTTGACATTCTTATTCCATTCTTTTCACTTAATAATTGCTATTTCCCAACTGCTATATAAATAAAATTAAATTTAAGAGTCCTTGTGAAGTAGCTAAAAATTGATAAAATTTGATGAATCTCATGAAATTTTGTGAAAAGTGAATCTAATAAGGGGCTGTTTGGGCCCGATTTTTTCAACCAAAAAATTGATTTTTTGACCGTTATTTTATTATTTCAGTCGTCATATTTGACTTCTTCTCTCACAGGTGGACTCCACTTTTCTCATAACAGTCAAAAAATCAATTCTCAAAATCACTCCCAAACAGGCTCTAAAATTTATAACGAAAATTAAAATTTAACCAACTTTTAAATAAATTAAAAAAAATTATCAGACAAGCACTAAAATACATAAAATTAAAACTATAACAACATAAATAATAACATTTATAAAAGCTTCAATTATTGACTCGAGTTTTGTTAATTATTCTTGGAGACTTGCTCCCCAAACTCCATGTGATCACAATATAATATTGTAACATTAAAATGATGCAATGCGGGAAAGGCAAATTGGCCCAAGGATTTTGGTGTAAACCAGCAGCAATTTTGAGGGCTTGAATCTCTTTCCATTTTATTATATTGGTGTAAACAAACCTTTGACTGAAGTGATGCTTATATGCCATATATTAATTTGTCACTATTCTAATATTATTCCATTATAGAGAATAGTCGTGCACCCCAAACTGCAGGTAGTAAAATATTGTACACGGACGAAAAACGAAATGACCTAGTTAAATTACCTACCTTTCACCGTATTGACTCTCTTTAAAGGTAAAAAATGAACTAAGGTCATACTGTATTTATATGACACAATATCAGTCGCAAATCAATCAATATAGCCAACATTATTTTATGTCAAGTTTGACTCACCCTAAACTAGAGGTGTAAAGTAGGGCAAATCGCTCATCGGCTATATCAAGTCCATAGCTCGCTGAACAATAAATTACTTATACGAGCCTCTTGCCGAATGAGTCATCTCACAAATGAGCGGGTGACTCGCATTTTAGTTAAAATTTGTAATTTTTTATAAAAAGATGAGTCACGAGTGACTTGCAAGCCAGTTCGACTCATCCTATCAAGAGGTGAGCTCGTGGGACGAGTCAAGCTCAACTTCCTTGAGAGAAGCTGGCTCACACTCTACTCATCCCATGAACAAGCTAAGTCGGCTCAACTCATCCTAATTAACACTTCTACCCCATATCGTGCACCAAATTAGTGGTCCATCGTGGCTAGCGTTGAGCCAAGCAAACCAACAATTCTTTTTCTTTAATTGTTTTTCTATTCAAATGAACCACTTTAGCGTATAATATGACTCGATTTAAGCCTCTATTTCACAAAAATATACATTTAACTAACAAGAAGGTGATTAGTTATCGTTCAAGGAGAACCATTAAAAGAGTGGTCGCTTGGTAACCTAATTACTCTACGCCGCATTAAGACAATATCAAACCCATCATACCAACAATTCAACCATTTAAAGCTAACCAAATTTGTTAGAGATTATTTTATAAGTTGCTTCCCACAAGATCCAAGAAAACCTAACATTTAGCACTTCACAGTGAATGCTTAGGACCATATCTAAGGCAAAGCTCTATTAGTATAAAACAGGGTGCATTTGGCATGACACTTGCATAATCAATGATATCATCCAAGAAACCATATAATTGATATTCAGTGGCATCAAGTGACAGAAAGCAATTCAGGTGTTACCAGTTTTATTAACTTGAGCGAGTGCTATCAAATACTTCAAACAGAAATTGCCAAAGAAATTCAAAAGAAATTTGACAGGCTGTTCTTATAGTTTCTTTTCCTAACAACTTTGTCGACACTAAATTCAATTATTAGCAGAACATGCTATTCCATGGGTCATAATCAAATATTAGAATTCAAACATCAATGACCACCAAATGAAAACTACTAAATCAAAAACTAAGCCCATAATTATTGAGCGCCACCAATCTTACTATTGACAATTTTTGGGTCCCAATCAATAGCCATAAAAGTTTCAACTCTACAATTGATTGAATAGTGGCATAGTAGGGGCGAAACAAAATAGCCAAAACAAAATAGAAGAAAACAAAAAAAATAGAAAACAAAAAAAATTAAAAATAAAGAGGGAAAGAAAGAGTCACCACTCACAACTGATGTCGAGACTATAAGGCAAACGGTTCACTACAATAGAAGCAGAACACATTGACGTCATTCGTTGGCTTGGCTCCAGGCTCCGGCAAATGCTGCCTCTTCTTTGATGGAGTGTGCGGTCTGCCTCCTGGAGCTGGGTCGTTTGAATTTGAAGAAAGAGGAAGTGAGGTCTTGTCGTCCTAAAGAAAAGGGTTTGGCAATTTGGGGGAATTGGATTTGGGCATTCCACAATTCTCGGCTAATTGGACGATTGAAATGGTTTGATAAATTGGATAATTTCATTTGACAATTGGGCTAAATAATTAGAGGCCCAAAATTCGTAAATTTACTGACACCCAAACTAGAAAAAAAAGGGGGGGCCTTTCATCTTCCTTCTCCTTCTCCATGCGACGTCAGCTGCAACTATTGCAAACGGCTAGTTGCTACTCGGCGGTTTTGTAGATTTCGGCAGAGCCAGCACGAGCGATCGCACCCCCTCGTCGGGTGTTGGCTCCGCGCCTGGCTGCGTTCAAGTAATAAAACAAATTTTGAGTTCGAGTCGATCCCTCGAAGAGTGTTCTTCCAACCACATGCTAATTGATTCAAATTTAACGATAACACGCACAATTTGATTTTGAAGTTGAAGGTGATAAGAAAATGATTTTCATGTTCAACTAAAATACACAATTACAACAATGATAAGAATTTGAATTTTAATTGGGTATTAATTTTTCAACAAACAAATTAATAAAAATGCTCACTTATCTTGTTAAACTCGATTTTCTTATTTTAGTTAATTACCTTCTTCGAGTGAAGTTAACCCCAATCAATTAATTTAACCTTCTATATTTCTATGTCGATTAAACACAATCAATAGCATTAAATATTTGTGAAAATAGCTAAAATGGTTACCTAAGGTTAGGAGTATATCTCTATGTCCAACAAGAATCTAGAATTTTTACCATCTTGATCTAAAATATGCAAGAATTTCTCAATATTTTCATAAAATCACTTGACATAATCACAAAGTGGCCACAATTTTAATAATGCACTAAAAACAATGGTAAAAATACAAGAGCATAAGCATTAATGCATTAACAAGTTAATATAGAAATTAATATAGTTTGATCAAGTTTTCTCATTCATCCCAACGCCAAAGTTTTTGACCCATTGTATTTGAAAGGCAGAAAGTGAAAAGATTAAAAAAATAAATCACAAAATTTTAGTAAATATAGTGTGAAATACATAACAAAGAAATAAACCCGTTTCTTGGTTGGATTCTTGAAGCTTGATTAGTTTTGGTCATGATTTCTCCAAACTTTCCCTCCTTTTTGTGTGATGTTCTCTCATTTTGCTTGTCCCCTTTTTTCTCTCCATGCTAGGGTTTTAAAATGTGAAAGAATGAATGGTAGAAAAAATGTGAAAAGGGTGTTTAAAAAGTGTAAAAATTGTCCCAACCAAATTACAAGAAGAATCCCTGAAAAATTATAATGAGCGCATAGGTCCTCATTTTCAAACTAAGGCGCGCGCCTTAGTCCTT